GGAAAGGAGGATGCCAAATACTGCCCTTTTAAAGTACTCTCTGTGGAGTACAGAGTTGAAAACCTAAGCACAAATGTCTGCACACTTGAGAGATGAGAAGGAAGGTCTGAGGTTTGTAATTTTATTCCTGGGTCTACTGGTCATACATGGGGGACAGATTTATTAGTGGCATTACCGGAGCGGGATGTAAGTGATACCCTCTTTGGCTTAGGCAGCGCTCAACAATTTTGCAGGGTTTTTTTTTGACTGGATGCTACCCAAGAGAAAAAAGGTGGTAAATGTGCTAAAAGAGGAAAATCAGCTTTAAATGACATGAGGATTATGGGTAATAATACTTAGCAAACCAAAGAAGGACAGTTGACCAGTTTATCAGTAAGCAGAGTTTCTTAACCACATGAGAGCAAATGCTGTAAAAAATGGGCCAGAAAAAAGTTGTCTTTGATTTAGCATTCCTAAGCTTTTATTTAAAAGTTATTTTAAAAATGTAATTATTTTGGCCTCTTGAGCAACAGCTTGAGGGGATCCAAATGGAAGGTTAAATCCTTTAAAAAATGTAAGTATACATTATCTGCTCTTTCCTGCCCCTTCCTCCTTCCTTTCCCTCTCTATTTACACATACATCCCCTATTTCCTACATCTTTGAACTACAGTCAGTGGCTGAACGAGGTACATTTTGAATACATATGATTGGAAAAAAAAAAATAATCCAGAAATGTAAAGGTTAAGGGAGGTATAGCTACAACTTCTTCAACAGATACACCTCTTTTAAGGAGATTATATTGTAAATCCTGTGTACTGCATACAGGTTTAGCTACAGTCTTTCAAAAAAAAAAAAAAAGAAAAAGGAAAAACCCCAACACTGTTAAATGATGCTTTCTGCCAATTTCTTAGCTGATTCACTCTCTTTTAAATCGGCAGTTTGCATATATGTGAGTGGAAGAGCTAATCGTAGGAATTTCTTGGTGTTGCTTTGTAACCTACTCAGAATGCTGTGTGAAAAATACAGACTTCCACTATTCCTTTGATCATTTGATGCTCTGTGGGTGAGCAGCTTGTCACATTTTGGTCTATCTCAAAAACAAGCAAACAAGCTTGTTTCTATAGTTATGATGGTCTCATGATACGATGGTCTCATGATACAAACAGGACAATGTTTGGCAAGAATGGTGGTGTCCTATGTTAGACCAGCTGATATGCTTTGCAGCTCAAAGGAGAAAACAAGCTGAAAGGCACACAAGGCCTTTCTTAGTCTGAAACAAAAGCAGCAAACCTCGTTAAACCTTGTTTTGTAATAATTTACAAAGCCCACACAGGCTTTTGGTGATCTTGATTCTCATGACATTTGCCATACTACGCTTTTAAAAGAAACGATTTTACTTCTGAGTTAGGTATTTGATCTGCATGCGGTGCTTTATAACTAGGTGTTAGTATATTTACAACATATATTTTTAAAACCCTATTTATATTAATGACACACATTTTATATGTATGAAAAAAATCTTTCATTAAAAAAACCCACCTTTTCTCTATTTGCTCAAATATCTTTCCAGAATTAAATTATATTGGTGTTGGGAGAAAATATTTAAATCCCATACTGGCTATTCTTTTGACTTCTCAAACGTAATGCAGTTGACTTTTAGCACAGAAAACCAGTGTTTGATAATGTATGGATGATAACATCAGTAATGTGACAGATAATTATTACCTGTAATTTTCCTGTGACTTAAAATAGGTGCACCTTTTTTTGGTGATTATGAGAAATAGACTGTAATGTACTCTGTAAAAGAAAATGCAAAATTTCCAAACAAAAATGCCCAAAGAGCTAAAAAAAAAATTAAATTTGCATAACTACGTATTTGCACATGTATATGCTCTCTTTTAGAGATTTCTTTTTGGAAGGCCATTACTGAAGACGCTCTCTTCCTTACACATATAGCAGAGTATTCTGTACTTCAGTGAGGCAGTATACAGCTTTCATTACAATGACAAATACTGAAATGTTAAAAATAGATCGAGCTTTAAGAATCCCAGATATTTTCAAATAACAAAGAGTGATTTATGTGGGCTCATTTTGCACTTTGACAAAATATAGAGGCGCTTTTGTACTATGATTAGCAAGGGTGCTGATGTCAGTTCGCTTGTCTAGCTTTAAGCTTTATTCTGCTGCTAAATTGTGCTTTGTACTGTAATCCAGAGAACCTTTGTATCTGCCTTATTAGTGTGTAGTTTATGGAATTGCTTTTGTTTTTTAATATAATCTGTGCCAGTTTCAGTGAGTGTGACTCATTATATGACTGAAATAAACATTCACATATGCACTATGTGAAAAGTCTTCAAAAATAGTAGCAGGTGCTGGTAGGCTAAATTCAATGTTTTAAGTACTTTATAGCTGCTATTTTGTAGCCTGAAGGGCTGAAAGCAAATTCAGCTTAGCCGGTTGATTTTCTGAGTTTTCAATTTAAGTGTCCTAAGTCCTATTTACTTATTAATGCTCAACAGAGATTGTCAGGATTGCTGAGAATCTTTCACTCTTAACACAGTGCTAGAAATAAACTCCTAGAAGAGGCACGCTTGGTTGATACAGAATTGATTTATTTATTTTTTTAATTACACAAATCGTGAGACAGAATGCATCGTGCTTCTCAATTGCTCTTGTTCCTCTCCTATCTCTGATCTGTTTCCTCCTGACCTAAACTTTGAAAATTTCATCTGAATGACTGCAGGCTGAGGTTAAAGATAAAGCAACAGAGTTGTGCAGTTTGGTTTGTAACAGTTATCTGTGACCGACCTTGTCTGGAGAGAGAGCCTCCGATACTGCAGTTTCCTGTTATCCCAGCATCTCGGTTGTCACTTGATATGGAAACAGGAAACAAAACAAACTTTGCCAGTGTTTTTTGGGTTGCTGTTAAAGAGTGCTTATCAGCTGCGCTACTAAAAGATGCTCGCATTTGAAATCTAAATGGAAAGGGTTTCATCTGTTGCATCTTCTACTTCTGTGTTTTACTTTTCACCCAGTTAAACTTACTGCTACCGTGGAAACAGTTGCTTGAGACCTTGACGATTCACACGGTTCAGCATTTGGAGGGAGATGCAGTATTCACAACTACAATAAATATACTTGTTTTATAAAGTTTAAAGGTTATCTTAAATAACTTTTAGAGGCTTGGTAGTTGAAGAATGGATCACAAGCCTTAATTAAGCTGTCTGTCTGGCATTTTTCCCTTTCTCCTGCTTTCTGTATTATCTTTTCATAATAGCTTCCTAAGCTTGATACCCAAAAAAGGCATGCCTGCTTGACAATGAGGGTTTTGTGAGTCTCTAGTGCGAAGCTGACGGCACTAGTTCGGAGCTGGAAGATGGCAGTGCAGTTCTTGCTCTTTGTCCTTTACGGCCTCCCTCCACTAGGTTCTTTGAAGGTAACAACTACATAAAAATGAAACGGAAACTCTCTTGTGCTTCAAGAAAATGGGTCTGAATCTTTTCCTAATACATAGTAAGGAGCTCTTATTTTCGAAGCTACGTCACAACGTTTAAAGGACATCATACGTCTTGACCTCTTCTGGGACCATCCTTGCTGATTTCATTCCTTCCCTTGGTTAGTGTGCAGCCAGGGCTGGCCAAAAGGAGAACTCACTCACTTGTTTTATCACTTTTATGTTTTCTGTGGGTTTTTTGTACTTTTGAAGGACTTGCTGGTGACCTTGTTTGAATATCCTAAAGAAGTTTTAAATGGGGTGCCTTAGGGCATGGTGTGAGTCTGTGGCTTAACACACCTTGGCTTGGCTACTGCGTTGATTTGCCTTGGTCTCCAACTTTGCTGAAAAGCATAAAAACAAGTGGACAAAGCGGTGATGGCTCCCCACTCTGTCCAGGCTCTGCTTTCAGATTTCTAACTGTGAATGCAGTGCAGCTCTTCTAATGGGCAATGGCAGTACATTTAGTTTCTTCTACTGTGCCCATTATCCTGGCATTTGTGCATATGAGGAAGCTTAGAGCATGGGATGCTGTGTTGCTGGTAGAGCTGAGGAACCAAAATGCAGCTAAGTGAGGCAATAAAGATGCTGTTGGTAGCACCAGGACAGTTGTATGCAAACCTTGGTTTCTTGGTTTGAGTGAGGATTATGGCAGGTGATGGAGACCCACTGGATTGAAAGGCAGTTGAGGATTAGTTGGAAGATGAAGCATTTTAGTTGTGCTTTTCTCCTGGACCAGCTTCTTTCTCTCTGCAATGGCAGGAAGGCTGGTATAACAAACACGGCATCAGATTGTGAAATATATTTCTTCTGTGGAAGTACTTTCCACAGAGGCTGTTTTTAGTGGTAAAACTGTAACATTTGGTCATTCTCTCCATCCCTGTCTCTCTAACGATTTCCAAAATAAAAATGTAGCTCTTTTTGTGTAAGAAGTACTATTGTAGAAATATTACAAGGTTCTGAGTGCAGAGTCCCCTAACATTGAGGTGATGTGAGCATTGTCTGGTCTTTAAATGCAGGTTACTGCTATTATCAGTGAAAAATTCAGAGTTAAAATGCATCAGCCTGAATCAGCAGACATTGGAAACAAGACGCTATGGAGCACTTAAAGATATATTTTGTTTTGTCTTCCCCATGCCTACATCAGCTTACTTCAGAAGTTTTTTGTGTGTCCCTTTTTCCCTCTCCTGGTCCCCTCCCCACTTTTTTCTTTACTGGATTCAACCTTTCTCATGTTGTAAGCAGTTATTTAATTGTATGTCCCCTTCCTCAAAAGCAAGCTCAAATACAGAAGCAATGAACTTTAAAATACAAATTCACTAATCCTCTAGTCCACTGCTATACCAATACGTAAATAGATTGTGTTAAAGATAGGTAACTGGTGTGTAATCTCTTAGTTATAATTGAACTTACTATTACTGGGTTCAACCCAGGTTAAAACCATACACAAAAGGTAACAGTCTTAAAGTATGATTTCTTTCTTCTAATTTTTCTCCCTTTTTTTCCCTCTCCAATTTTCAGGCATGGAAGAGGAGATGGTTTGTGCTACGCAGCGGCCGTTTAACAGGAGATCCAGATGTATTGGAATACTACAAAAATGACCATGCCAAGAAGCCTATCCGTATTATTGACTTAAATTTGTGTCAACAAGTGGATGCTGGATTAACGTTCAACAAAAAAGAGTTTGAAAACAGTTATATTTTTGATATCAACACTATAGACAGAGTTTTCTATTTGGTAGCAGACAGCGAGGAGGAGATGAATAAGTGGGTTCGATGTATCTGTGATATCTGTGGGTTCAACCCTACAGATGAGGGTAAGTTCTATTGGTTTTTCTGAGAAAGTGTGATGCCTACATATGAAGAATGTTTCAAAGATCAGATTACTATCTTTAGTAGCTGGCATATGTTTTAAAACTTGTATGCCTTGGCTATGAAACTTGCTTGTTACTCTGACAAAAAGTAAGCAGGACAGAGGGAGGTATTAAAAATTTGTAACAAATTAAGTGTGCCATAGAACTTGGATGATGCTCTTCTGTTTTGCATGATGTTAGGTCTTGAGAATATAGGAAAAATCTTTAAGTAAAATCATGCAAAACAGATCATCATAATCATCAAAGGAATCCCATTTGGTATAAAAACGTATGGTTATGCAAGCAGGAATGAGTGCAAAATGTCAGGTTTCTAATATTACCATTTCTCCGTCTGCTTTGCATCTTGAAAAAAAAAATAAAAAATCCACCCCCCACCGGCTGAAACAAATGAAAAATAACTTGTAGATCTCCACTATCCAGCTCTAATCCTACCAAAATAGACGTTGTGTGAAAGCAGCTTGAAGGAAACAGGATGGTGTGTTTAATTCCTGCAAATACCTTTTGGCCATTACTTGTCCTGAATCCATCCTTATTTATTTACTTATTATTCCTGCATTCCTTGTGGAGATTAGTGGAGTGCATGACTTGTAGTTCTGTGCACAGTCCCAAGAAAAGATTAAACAAGAGCAGTAAGAGGGTTAGAAATAAGCATGCCTGACTGAAGGGGCTGGAATTAGATCCCTGGTTTTTGTAGGATTGTGGATTGAGTGAGATGGGGAAAAAAGGGCTTGCATCTTTTCTACTCCAGCCAAATCTTCAAAAGTGACTGGAAAATATTGTTGCTTTTTAAAGAGAGGCCTTTTTCTTCCTCCTTATTGCAATTTTGAACCACAACTTTGTCACGAAAACTTCATCTATGAATTATCACTCTGGTAGCAAATTCAGTGAAAGGTACTTGTTTTGACAGATCCAGCATGTTTATATGACATCCTAAACGTAACCGAGACCACCCACAGCACGTTTCTAAGAGCGATTGCCATATGGTTGAGTGTTCAGTCTGCCAGGTGTCCCTTACGTACGGGAGAGAGGTAGGCAGGTGGATAATACACTGGTGCACCAGTGCAACTGTGGGCAGGAGGAGCTTAGAAGTCATTGGTTGTGTGGACAAACTAGGAATCTGGGAAGTAAGGAGGAAATGTGTTTACCTGGCAGATCTGGTGTATGTGAGAGCGCAAAGAAGTACGTGTCCATTGGGTGGAATGGAGAGGTAGGGTCCCCTCGAAACCATGAGGCCTTTCCTTGCTGAGAGCTGGTATATTGCTAATCCTTAATTTTCTGTTGATGTTATGTCTTCTGGTGAACTGAAGGTGAAACGCACTATGAACGCGAAGAGGACTAACTGTGCCCTTGCTGTCTGTTTGGACCAAAACTGGTTTTTGTTTCAGTCAATTGTATCAGTAACTTATCCCCATTATGCTCTCATTGCGTGTTTCGTCTCTGGCATTTTTGCCTGAATTATCTCAACACCTTTACTGTACATAACTGAGAGTTGACGGTGCTGTTGGTTTTATGGGTTTAGTAATGTCTTGCAACGTGTTGAGGAAGAATTAAAAAAGGAAAATGGGAAAGTCAGCTGATGAGTGTCTGTTAATTGCCAAATTCTTATTTTTACAAGATAAATCCTTCTACTAATGGAAGAACAAGTCATAAACATACTTTATAAAATCTGTGTTAACCTACAGTTTATTTTGAGAAGTTAAAGAATAGGTGAAGTTCACTGCAGACAATATAAAAGCACTATTATTTTAGTATGGAACTAAACAAAGAGAGATTGCGTGGGGCATAACCAACCTTCCCTTTAGCCTATGGAAGTGGAAGATAGATTTCTTTGAAGCTGGACAAAATTTCTCTTGCCAGACTGGGTAAGGGTCTTGTTATTAGAGGACTGTCACTAGCATCCTTTGCTTGATCAAGGACTGAGGGCACCATTGGCCTGTTGTCCCTGCTGCTCTTTGTTTGGAAGCCCAGTCCAATGCCTCCTTGGATTTACAAAGAAAAAAATATTATGAGATTGTGGTGATTAGTGCTATTAGAAAATTACTATGGAGTTGTTGTTTTGGTGTTGAGAGGAATGAGGGAGAAAGAGTTAATCATAACTCTGGAGAGACCAAAAAAATAAAGATCCCTTCAGACTAGGTCTGAGCTGCTCCTTTCATATTTGGTGAAGACTCCTGTGATGCGAAATTTCTATTTTCTTTTATTCCTGTTCTTAAAAATGAGGGTTCACAGTAACTTCTAACTTTCTAATGCTTTTGTTGTGACCTTCCAACTAGAAATTGATTTACGCATGTGAAATCTGTTCATTCTGGAGATCTGCAATGTTACATTTGTATTTGGACTGAGTAGATAAACTTATGTTCCTTACTCAAACTTACAAGCCATTGAGTCTCCAGCCTTCTGATTGCATCACAGTTTAGTGTAATCTGTAACAATTACATTACAATTACATCATGTGGCTTTTTATAGGGGTTTTCTTTTAAGGAAGGGTTTACAGTTATTTAAGTCTTTTAAACTTAAAAGACAGAAACATGAAGGATATATATATTTTTTTTTAATAAGCTAAATAATTGTTCTACTTTTGTAAAGAAATTTCTGGGTGCTTTTTATATTTTTTGTCAGCTAATGTTTCTTGTTTTCAAATGGAAGCTATAAAATGTTTGTTTCTCTAGTATCTTTCTTTTTAAAATGCATGTGCAAAGGTGGGGGGAGCTGCACATAGGCTTACCACCGAGTTTCATACTGCACTTTTAACATTCATATTTTCTCTGTAAGGTCATAATGTAATAGATCATTTAGAGGTTTAAATGGAACTACAAGCAAAAATGTGTTGCCAGTGTTTTGTGCGCTCCAGTGAGAGACATTCTTGGATGGAGAGACTAAATGGATGTGGGAAATGACTATTCTCCTCTGCCCGGTGCTGTGGAGACCTCAGCAGAAATACTGTGGCCTCAGTGTCCAGAAGGATGAGGATGAATGTTTAAAGAATGGTAGAAATATAGGAAATGGATTTTTAAAAGTGATTGATGAGGAGAAAAGTTGAAGGATTTGTTTTTCCCCAGAAGAAAATACTAAGGGAAAAGCTGACTTTCAAAGTATAAAAAGCTGCAATAAGCAGGACATTGATCAGTTGTTATCTGAAGAGAGAAGTAATTTGTTTCTTTTTTAGTAAGCGATTTAATGATAAAGGAAAAACCTCCTAAGGATAGTTAAGCACAGGCTGTAAAAGCCCTTCCCTAGAATTCAGTAGACATCTGTGATGAATGTTTTATACGTGATCCAGCTCCATGTTTCTGTAATTTAGTGAATTGCGTGCTTGGCAGAGCAGGGGAAGGAGGAAATAATCTTACTATATGCAAACATGTTACTTGCATGTATTCATTTGAATAAAGATAGCAATAACAAAGTAAACCAGAAGAAATAACAAAGTAAACCAGAAGAAAAAAAGAAAAGGGAAGAACAAGACGTTGAAATCTACAATTATATTTACACAAATAATTATGTGTGGTAAGGAGAGTTTCTGTCATAAGGGGACCGTACTTTGAAAGAGCTACAGCTTGCTTCACACACAACGCTTTCAAAGTTTGCAGTATTTCTGTTCAGGCAGCTGCTATGTGGTATATGCCTCTCATGCCTTCTGCATTTTGAACAGTAAAATTATTTTCAGATAACTTTTTTTTTTTTTTTAATCCTGCTCTGATAATACATGCGTTGCGAGTTGATCACAGCTTGGGTGCAATATCGATGACTGGCAGGATGAACGTAACTCCACCTTCCCATCCTGACTCCTTGTGTTCTCCCTAATGCTGCGTGTTCAGGCATCACTGCTGCTACGCTGTGTTTGGAGATTTCTGCGTCAGATCACGATACCCCTGTGCTGCCTGTAACACAAGCACGGAACAGAAAACAGGCTCTGCCACTAAGAACTTGCTGTCCGCAGTAAGAGACATCAGCACAGGAGCAGAGGCATGGGAAGAAGTGAGCACAAATATGGTGGTTTGCCCACTGTGACAGATAAGTGGTCGTAGTGCTTCAGCTGTTGGGCTGATGTTGAACTGTGGGATTTTTTTGAGAAGAAGTTTTCAGGGTGTCTTTGATAAATGAATAGTGGACATTAGTGGTGTTTAGGGTGGCCTTTCTGCATGAAGGGTCTGCCTGTAAGAAATAAAAAATGTTCTCCTTTGACAGCTTTAACAGGTGGATGGTAGAGGCTGGCATGCTTGCCGAACCAAAATCACCATCTCAATAGCGTACAATGAATATTGGAGACCTTGATCATGAAAGGGCTTAAAAGTAAGGGGAAATAGCATGAGCTTTTAGATGCAGGAGGGGAGGCTCTGGAGAAGTGTAGAAAGAAGCGCAATGAGAGAGTAATACCTTTTAAAAAAGCCTTTGCAGCAAAGTTGCACCACAGAGATGATGTACTTAATGATGAGTTGAGATTTTTTGTATCTCTTGGATATGATTAACTAGAAAGCTCAAAGATGACGTGCCAGGAGGATGAGTGACTGGTGACCTGGGGTGCAGTGAAGAAGGGTGCATGGAAGGACCGAGTTAAGCATTAGGAGAGAGACCCTCCAGATATGGATTGTGTTGTCTTAGAAGTGAGTCAGTAGGTTTAGAGGGAGTAGTGGAATAGTGGCACAAGAGCATCTCTTCTTGTGGAGCCTTTTTTGTTTGCTTGCTTTGAGAAGGTAAAGGTGGGGGATAGTGGCCACTGAGCTGTACAAACATTTTATTTTTTTTTTTTGAGGGTGGAATTGCTGAGAGGATGGTGATGACAGACTGTGAAGGGGGCTGTCAGAGTTGCAAGATTTCATATGGCAAAACTGTGGAGGAATAATAAAATTAGAAGAAGGGGGACCAGAAGAGGACCTGAGATTTAGCTCACGGCTGAAGAGCTGAGTAAAGGGAGGCAAAGCTGAGATAATTGTTGCCTGTTATCC